CTTGCCAAAGGTTTTATATAGTTAAGGGTACAGATACCATAGCATGTTTTTATACTCCACTGTAAAGGCAGACTGTCTATCTGTCATTGTACATGGTGTGCCTACTCATCTATAGGAGATCAGGTAATAACTTGAGCCAAGGCCTACCTAGGATAAATGAAGAGAACCAAAGCTACAGCCTCAACATACACACTGGTGTAACTTAAGCTATCATACAGTTACTACTGTATTTTTGAGAAGCAAGTTTACATGGGGCAGGGCATCTTACACTATACATAGTGTGTGAGTACATTGCATTGTACAAAGTATGTTGTACAGCTTGTTACTTAAGGAGAAACTGGTTGTTTGTCCAGATCCTGGTATAACTCTAACTTTTCAAAGCCTATGCAAAGAATAGGGATATAGACATGGCATGTATCCCTCATCAAGTAGAAACAAAGGCTGATACTGTCAGAGAATAGTTTCTCCCCTCCTTCCCTCTTGCTCAGCTAAGAGGGAAGGAAAAGCTCAGGAAAAAGATTAGAACTTCAGTAGTTTGTATCGTTTCCTTTCAGAAGCGAAGTCTCTGTGGACTTTTACCCTCTTATGCTCCTGAATCTATCTACTTCTACCTGCTGTCTTTCAAAATGTGAAGATGATCTTTGTCCATTTATTTATTTAGTCTCCCCACTATTCTGCAGCAGAGCTCAGATTTCCTTTGCCACCTACTTGCATGCTGGGTTTTACATGTACTGCAATGGAAGGGAAGACTTCACTCCCTTTTTCAGTCTTCCCACTACCAAGCTTATGATTCCCAATTAACTGAGCAGCATACATTACAGAATGCATGCAAATGATGACTTACGTAAACTGTTCTTTTGTAGGTGCTGCATACATAAAAGCCTTTTCCCACGTGATTTGTTCCCAGGATGAGCACTTAGTCAACATCTTGGGCACTCTACTGCAACCCTGACTGCATATCTTCTTCCCTGTCGCCCACACACCCTGTAAAAGCAAATCCACAGGTTCTTCAAATTATTGATGACTTTGGGGTAGCAGAGCACTAATCTGTCAATCTAGCCACCCATGAATAGGAAAACCTTGTAACTTAGCAGCAGGTCCCCAGATACTGTTCTTCTCTGGTTCATTAACTTCTAGTTTTAGAAGTTGTTACTAACCAAGAAAAAGCTTATTTCAGAGGAAGCCTAGATCTGTCTCAGTGTGAAACCATCCTGGCGTGAACTCAGATAGACAGTCCTTTTTCACAGGATTGCAAATATTCAATCAACCTCCCTTCTAAGAGTCTAGATTGTTCCCCGAGGATAGATTCTAAACTTATCAGCTTCAGTAGCATAACACCCTCTGGTGCTGCCTAAAGAAGGGGACTGTGCCCTCATTCCTGTACCCCTTCCCTAGCACACCGCACCTTCCCTGCAGCAGCTCTGGCTCCCGCTCCAGCAGTTGGGAGGTCAATATAAAAGCAGCAATGGATAGAAGAGGGAGCAGTAGCTGGAGGGTTTCTGTTGCAGGGGGGAGATGTTGCCTTCTGTTTGCTTCCAAAAATCAGTATTTAAAAAGCCATTTGACATGTCAGTGGTGCAAAAAAAAA